CAAGGGCCACCTCTCAGGGCTCAGGACCACCAAGGGTCAAGGCCATCTCTTGGGGCTTGGGGCTCTCATCACCCTCATCATTAAGATGGAGATGATAATGATTGTGTCATAAGCTCAGTATTTTTGTTGTTGTTGTTTGTTTTGTTTTTTTGAGACAGGATCTCCTTCTGTTGCCCAGGCTGGAGTGCAGTGGCATCATCATATCTCACAGCAGCCTTAGACTCCTGGCCTCAAGCAATGCTCCTGCCTCAGCCTCCAGAGTAGCTGGGACTACAGGTGTGTGCCACAATGCTGGCTAATTTTTCTATATTAGTAGAGATAGGGGTCTCACTCTTGCTCAGGCTGGTCTTGAACTCCTAACCTCAAGTGATCCTCCTGCCTCAGCCTCCCAAAGTGTTACGATTGCACAAAGTGCTTAGCTCACGTCCTGTCTAGCCCTCCTGTCCTTGGGTCAGACTTGCAGCCTCTTGATGTCTGTGCTTAGTGGGGCTCCCGGTCCCCAAGTTCTCCCCAGGAGCTTCCCAAGCACATGGCAAGCGCCTCCCACACTTCCCTGGGAGTAAGGACATGAAGCCCAGCTGCCTACACAGCCACCCTGATGTGCCATGTCCCCACCTCCCAAGCTCCTCCTGCTTTCTGCCCACCTCGCTTGATGGCAAATTGGGCTCTGATGTCACTTCTACCAGCTGTGTCCTGTGACACCCCATGTGCCCACCCAAGCATCACCTCAAAGCTATGAGATGCTTTGGACCCCAGGGTGGGGCCTGCCTGCTTCATCTCAGAGTCCTGGGCTCAGGCCAAGCCCCACGAGGGAGATGCAGGGAGGGAGCAGCAGCAACTGTCGGGAAAGGGCTGGGAGGAGGGCCCAGCCCTGGCCCCAGTGCCCAGTGCCTATCTGTCCAAGCAGGAAAGAAGGGGCAAAAGGCACCTGGGCCGTGTGGGAGGCAGGGCTGGGGTAGGGTGGGGCAGCTCCAGCACTGACTGGCCAACCCTGATGGGGACGGGACTTCCTGGTCTGGTCCCATCTTCCTGGGGCAGTGCTTTGAGGTGCTCATTTCAGCCCAGGGTGTCTGCCTCTGTGCCAGGATGAGAGGCAGGGGGCCTTGGTGGAGGGGAGCCTGGAGCCTCCCGCCCTGGGCCTACCTGAGCTGCAGGTTCCTCATGAAGTCCTCCATGGTCACTTGGTCCAAGAGCACAAAGTCGGGTTTGCCGTACTCCGGGCCTTCCTCGTCCTCCATCCTGCCAGCTGGAAACACCCAGGCCAGGTTGCCTCACCTTCCTGTGCCGGCTGGCAGGAGGGCGGTGGGGAGGGGAAGGCTGGGGAGGCCCAAGCCCTGCCAGGCTCCTCCAGTGCTGCAGTAAAGTAGGAAGTGGGTTCTGGCCCTGGGAGGGGCTGCCTTCCCCACTTGCTGCTCCCTCCCCCACGAGGTGCTCTGAGCCCTGCTTCCTGTCCCTGTGCCCCACAGCTGGCCACAGACCGTTAGGTCTGACCTGCTTGCATGCGAGGGCCAAGGCGCCAGACCCCAGGTCCTCCAGCTCTGGAGGGCTCCTTGATGGCCTCTTTCGGAAGCTCCCGTCTACCCCAGGCAGCAGACAAGACTCCGTGGGTGATTTCCAATCCTGGCAGCACGTTAGAGTCACCTGTGGGACTTTAAAGAAAGATTTCTTGACATGGTTTTGGCCACCCAGCTGTATGTGTCTGTCTACTCAGAACTGAACACTAGACGAATTTCACCATGCATGTTTATTGTACCTTAGTACAAAAATGTGAAAAGATCCTAATGCCCAGGCCTCTGGAGCGGGGAACTGGCAGCAGCATTCTCCCCCGTCACTGGGGGAGAAATGGGAAAAGCTTCTTGTCCGGCCCTGTGAAGGGTCAGGGCTCAGGACTCCTCACACTGCAATTCCCACCCCAGCCCCCTGGAGGGACGGAGGCCCCTAGAGTGTCTTCTGGGTGGGGCCAGCCTGCAGGGGAACCCCATGCTCCTAACTGTCCTCTGCCTCGTACTTTCATCTGACAAGCCCTTCAGTCCTTACAGCTCTGAGACGTGCCTGGTACCTGCTGTCGTGCTTTGTAGATGAGGCAGCGCATTTAGGAAGTAGCCCAAGTGGCTCCGGTTTCTCTCCACACATAGCACCCCGACACGGTGGGCCTCGGGCAGACGGGGCGGTTCTCTCCCCCTCTGAGCAGATGGGGCATCTCTTGTCCTCCAAAGCAGACTGGGGAAAGAGTTCTCTCAGCCCAGGGCAGACCAGGACAGTCCTCTCTCATCCTCTAGGAAGACTGGGACAGGTCTCTCTCTTCCTTCAAGCTGACTAGGGGCAGTTCTCGTTCAACCCTCCCTCACACGGGGAGGTCAGAAGGACAGATGTCGGTATTCCCAAACTTGGGTCACTCACCTGCCACCTTCCAGATTTGTTGTACTCACAAGCACTAGTTTAACTATTATCTTTCAAACATCTCTTTTTAAACTTTGAAATAATTGTTTGAAATGAAGTTAAGGTTTTTTTTTCTCTTAAAACTAATGCATTCCTGATAAAATTGAAAGTGCTTATCCAGTACCCGACAGAACTAGGTCATGCACATGCAGTGATAAGGGGCCCTTGTTCCAACACATCCCAGCTTTCTGGCTCCACCCTGAGCTGGGCCTGAGGCTCCTCGTGGGCAAACTCGGGTCAAGCGTAATCCTTCCAGCTCTGACTAGGGAGGTGCCCTCACACCCCCAGCCTCTTGGGCTGGGGCTTTTGAAGGGTTTCCCAAACCTAAGTTCACCCACACTCTTGCAGGCTCATCTCCCTTTTCTTAGTTTCACTTCCCCAAACCCCAGGGAGTTGAGCAGGTGGGGGTTTGTGTTAACGATTTAAAGGAACCAACAGAACCAATGCGGCTGTCCCAGTAAAACCTTAGGGGTATTGAAATCTTAATTTTATGAAATGTTCACCTGTCACAAAATAATATTCTTTTGGGTTTTTCCCCCAAACACTTAAAAATGTCAAGACTATTTATAGTGCAGAGATTTGGCCCGTGGGCAGAGTTTGCCAGGCCTCCCTTTATAGGCTGGTGCTGTGAGACCCTGGGCATAACCGCAGTCATGACTAGGCCTCCTCCCAGCTTGCAGTTTGCTCTGCATTGCCTCATCTGATTCCTGTCACCTGGGCCAGAGCTGCCGCTATTCTTACTTTGCATCTATTGAAACTGAGGCCCAGAGATGACATCACACCAAAGGAAGTTCCCTCTTGGCTCTGGACAGACCTCTGGGCCCTTGCAGCACTGTATTTAGTGTCTCTTTAGACCCCGGGGAAAGCCCAGATGGTCAGTCTCAGCCTGGTTCTCAGCAGGCAGGACAAGTGGCAGCTCTGACCTGCAGCTTTCCCAGGGCAGGCTCCTTACAGGGTGTGACCAGTAGGGCACAGCAAACACTGTAGAGCAGATGGATGAACAAAAGCAGGGGCCCCTGGAGGGACAGCAGTGAGGGGCCACCACCAATGCTACCAACTCGAGCCTGGCAGGGAAGGCTCTGGCCCTGGCTGCAGTTTCATTCATTATCTCATCTCAGTCTGTTACTTACTCCACCAGGGCCCCCTTGCCCTGAACTTCCTCCACACAGCCTTCAAACTCCAGGCTCACTGTGCTGCTGCTGACCTCTGTGACAAATCCCTCGTCCCAAGAAACTGTCCCTTTTCAGGTTTTCAGCGACCTTACACAATGGTACCACAATTTAGGATGTGTATTGGAAATCTATTTTTACCTAAGGATTTACTGTCAGGCTAGTTGCTGTAGGTGAATGGCTCCAAGGCGCTCTGGAAATGCAGACTCACAGACCACACAGCCCTCTGAGCCTTGTGAGCCTCCTGGGACAGAGTGGAGGCTGGTGAGGTGCTGCCACCCGGCCATCAACCCCCACAGCCAGGCTATCAGGAGCTGCTATCTCTGGGGTTTTGAGGAAATGAGTCTTCCTGACCACACCCTTGGGGTGTGGCTGCAGACTAGAAAATCCGGCTCTCTGCAGTCTAGAATAGGGGCCTCAGTAAAAGATGGTACTATACCTCCGTTGCAGGCCCTTTAGTCTGGTGTCATCCTTTTTGGTGTATGGGACAAGGACCTGAGGAGCTGGCACCTTTGTGTGTTTTTCCATTCACTAGTCAGTGGCAAATTGAATGTAAAAGTTGCTTTTTATTTTTTTTTTTGAGACAGTCTCACTGTTGCCCCAGCTGGAGTGCAGTGGTGTGATCATAGCTCACTGCAACCTCAAACTCCTGGGCTCAAACAATCCTCAGTCTCCCAAGTAGCTGGGACTACAGGTGCATACCACTATGCCTAGCTAATTTTTTCTATTTCAGTACAGCCAGGGTCTCGCTCTTGCTCATCTCCAACTTCTGAGCTTAAGCAATCCTCCTGCCTCAGTCTCCCAAAGTGCTAGGATTATAGGTGTGAGCCACTGCGCCTTGGCCTTGCTTACTGTCAACATTCCATGACAATGTCACCAACATTAAACTACAGAACCAAGTCCTGTGGGCTCAATGGTGCATTGTGACTGCTATGTTTCAAATGAAATGGGAGATATCTGGGGCATAATGCAGACTAAAGCTATTACTTCCTGTAATATTTCAATACTTAGGTGAGTACCTAGGAGTATTTGAAAAGACAAGGGTATTCTACCGAGCCAGTGGGTGAACACCACTGGAACCCACTCCAGGATCTCAAGATAAAGCTCCCAATGACAGTGCCTTTGTGCCCATTGATCGCATTGCAGAATTCAGCTGGTTACCCTTGGCACTGTGATAAATATCACCACCACATACCACCATCAGCTGAAATAGATGGCACATGCACACGAGGTGATCACCAAGTTCCAAGTGGCCATCATCTACAAGGCAAGATCACCGAGAATGGTAAAATACCTAGGGCTCCCTTGGACTTAGCTGACAACTCCTTCAAGAAGGGGCAGAGTCTTCCTTATTTTTGCATGTAGCATATGGAAAGAAAAGGCTGGACTGAATCACATTTAAAACCATTCATTATTTATTAAATATCCCTTGTTTTTCATTCAGCAGACACCAGAAGGGCCTGGATCTTGATGCAAATCAAAGTTCTTCATTCTGGAAGCAGAAAACCCAGCACCCAAACCTGGGATCAGAGAATGTCTGTCAGACTCGCATCCCATCAAGGGCCAAGAACCAGAAATTCCCAGCTCCTAGAAGGGAGGCATATGAGGCTTCAAATCTGCTCAGATAATTAAGGTGTAAAGACTTGGGTTCAAATCTGCTCCACTCCTCATTAGGTGTATCAGCACGGGCAAGCCTCCTTCTCAGTATCCACGTCCTCATCTGTAAAAATGAGATTAGAAACACTGTAGAGGTCTGTTGTGAAAAATTAAATGACATAATTCACTTAACTAGGGATTGTTATAAATGCCTATTGCCACAACAGACGGAACAGAACCCAACTTCCTCAATCCTGAACCCATTCCCACTGAGCTGAGAGGCCTGTGACCAACCATAGTGGTAGCACGAGCCCCTTCTAGGCTGACACACCACTAACCTTAGGGAATTCTGGGGAAAAGTCTATAGGTTGAATACAAACCACATAGGCGGTCCAAGAATCAGGCACACAAATCCAGACACTAAACAACTGTCCCCAAATAATCTTGTTACCTTAAAGACAATTAACCTTTCTGTGACTCACTTTATAAATAATTTCTGGGACTTATAATATGGGAGGATCAGAACAGGTTGATAGTCTTTGAACTTTTTCTTGGCCAGGTGACTTAAGGAAAATTAACAAATAAAACAGAAGTGAAGTTACTTGCTAGGCCAGATCTATCCTGGACTTACCTCTGGCACAGGTTCCATGGAACAATCTGGCAGCCACTGAAGAAATCCTCTCTCAGGTCTCCTCTAGCTCTGGCATCCTGAGATTGCTGAAATACTGATGGATGGTAGACACCTCTGTGCCAAGTGCTGGGGCCGGCATACAAAGTGGAACCACTGGGGAGAGATGGCTGTCAGGAACTGGGAAGGTCTGAGCTGCCCCCTCTGCGGCTAACAAGGTAGCTTGCCAGGTTCATGGACACTGATAGAAAACACAGAATTCCTTGATTAGAGACAAAGGACAATTGATTATTCAATTCACAGCAATAGCAAGAACATCAGTATTTTCTAACACCCTCTCAAAGCCCCAGTTCCTACACAGTGATGCAAAGGGAGTCAGAAGGCACCAGCACGCGCATTGGCTGTGACAGGAAAGGCACCCAGTGTGGGACTCCCCATCTTTTACAATGGACAGCAAGAATGACTGCTCTCTGCTCTGGAGGAAGGCACTGCCTCTTACATTCCATGGCTGTCTGTTGCACAAACATCCTTTAAAAGATAATTTGGAAAAGACAACCAGTGCCGGACTCACAAGACTGCAGAGACATGAGAGAGCTCCCAACAGCAGGCCCCAGGTGTTCTGTAACTGTTCCTGGACTGAAGAGGCAGTCAGCTGGAAAAGCCTCTACCCTCAAGAGAGAAGGCGACCCTCCCACCAGAGGAACACAGGAGCTGTGCCGCTCGAGCTATGACCAAGGTGGCAACATTCTTCCAACCCAAACTTCCCAACTGCTTCTAGATTCTACTCAGGCTTCCAGGCATGGCATCTCAGAAAAGAGCACAGGCTGCAGTGTCAAACTCCATCTGCCAGTTTCTGGTTGGGCAACCTTGGACACATAATTCTGACCTTAGGCCCTTCATCTATATTGAATCTAAAACCACCTCACGAGTATGAAAATTTTAAACTAGTTGAGGAATTAAGAGGTTTGGCACAAAACAGGTGTTCAGCCAACATTAGTGCCCTCCTTTCCTATGACCAAAGCTGCAAGGACCTCACCTTCGGTTAGCTCCCAGGGCATTCAGTCCCTCTGCAGAACTGAGCCTTTAGTTTTCTTTGCTTTGCCTTGTAATTGTAAATATCCTGTCCCATCAGCGTCTCAGGGCAGAGCTCTTCCCTGTTAATCCTTTCTACTTCGGCTCCAACTCCTACCTTTACCACTCCTCTGAGCTTCACTTTCAACTTTTATAAAGCCTTTGCTTTGGCCGGGCGTTGTGGCTCACACCTATAATCCTAGCACTCTGGGAGGCCGAGGCGGGTGGATTGCTCAAGGTCAGGAGTTCGAAACCAGTCTGAGCGAGACCCCATCTCTACTAAAAATAGAAACTAATTGACCATATAAAAAGTTAGCCGGGCATGGTGGCGCATGCCTGTAGGCCCAGCTACTTGGGAGGCTGAGGCAGTAAGATCACTTGAGCCCAGGAGTTTGAGGCAGTCAGCTGGAAGCCTCTACCCTCAAGAGAGAAGGCGACCCTCCCACCAGAGGAACACAGGAGCTGTGCCGCTCGAGCTATGACCAAGGTGGTGCTGTGAGCTAGGCTGATGCCATGGCACTCACTCTAGCCTGGGCAACAAAGTGAGACTCTGTCACAAAAAAAAAAAAAAAGCCTTTGCTTTAAGAATATAATGAAATACGCCGGGCGCGGTGGCTCATGCATGTAATCCTAGCACTCTGGGAGGCCGAGGCGGGTGAATTGCTCAAGGTCAGGAGTTCAAGTTCGAAACCAGCCTGAGCAAGATCGAGACCCCGTCTCTACTAGAAATAGAAATTAGCTGGGCATGGTGGCACATGCCTGCAGTCCCAGCTAATCAGGAGGCTGAGGCAGTAGGATCGCTTAAGCCCAGGAGTTTGAGGTTGCTGTGAGCTACGCTGACACCACGGCACTCTAGCCCAGGCAACACAGTGAGACTCTTAGCTAAAAAAAAAGAATATAACAAAATAAAATTTGTGCTGAGCCTGGAGCATAGCAAACACTTAATGACACCCTTCACCTTTTATATCAGCACTGTCCAAATCTACTTCTGCACACAGAAATGTTCTTTAATCGGCACAGTCCAATATGGTAACCACATGTGGCTACTGAGCACCAGAAATGTGGTTAGCATGAATGAAAAGCTGAATTTTAAATGTAATTAACACCACGTGGCTGCCACATTACACAGTACAGATCTATACAATGCCCAGCATACAGGAGCGAGAAGAGAGCAAAAATTGTCTGAAATTTCTATAACCTTGCTCTGGATGGAGCAGGGCAAGGCCTCAAACCGTTTCAAAGCTGTTCTGGCAAGCGCTGTAGGAATGCACAGGGTCACCGCAGACCCAGGCACGCTGGAGGCTTGCTACTCACATTCAGCCAAATCCCCCAAACCTCAGGAATCCCAAAGTCCAGGGGCGAACAGTCCATAGAGTTCAATTAGTCTGGATGAGCTTGGTTCCAGAAGCCCACCACTAAGAACAACTAACTCTAAGGGAAAGACCCTTTCTGGCTGAGGGAGTAAGGGAAGATGTCTTATAAGAGGTAGGTAAACTTACTCCATGAGCTAAACTTCCACATTATTCTGTGACACTCCAATTCTAGTGTGGTGCTTCATTATGACCACAGAAATATCCATATCATATACTTACACAAAAATAACTTTTTCCCTTCATTTTTCTCATGTATTTTTCTCTGTATGTTTTCAGAAAACGCTTCTGAACTAGGGTGTAAGTCAGGACACATAAGTAAGTTCCACGTGGATTTTTTCCGTGAAATAACGGTTGGAAACAAGTTCCGGGAACGCAGAGCTGTGGGTTCCGAACCGTGACTTACCAGGGTATCTTGCAGGACAGCTGCTGTGACAGCAGCTCCCACTTTGAGGAAACATCACCTCGGCCATGACTCCCACCTAGAAGTGGACAAATACTGTCAGCTCCAGCCTGTGCCTCTGAACCTCACCCAGCTCTAACCCGGCACACAGCCTGAACCCCTCTTCCTCATCTCGAGGTAGGTCCACCCGCGATCTCATCGCTCCCAGCGAGACCCCTCCAGGTCTCACGTCCCATCCCTTAAAAAAGCTCGTGAGATCCCTCCACATCACACCGCCCATCCCGACTACTGGGGTCCCTCCAGGTCACGGACAAGCCCCACTTCTCTTCTGAAAGAGACGCTCAGAAGCACAGCGTGAGTTATACTATGGCCCCCGAGTCTCCTCCGAGAAAAATGTTCTCAACGCGCTCACCTGTCCCTTACAGGAAGCACGTGTAGGGAAGGTTTGGGCTGCGAGCGCAGCCGGCGCCCCCACTCACTGCGGTCCGGCCTCCCGAGCCACCTACCACCGAGCCCTGAGCCCCCCGACCCCTACCTGGGCTCAGGAAAAGGCGGCGGAATCCTGGATGGCAGTGGATGACAAAAACACCCACGAGACAGCCACAGCGACCGTGGAGCACAGGCGTCGCACTCCTGACGTCATCGCGCAGCAGCCCCGCCTCGAAGCCGTGCGTGAGCCCACGTGACCCCGTCCGGGGCAGGTGACGTCAGCGCAGCCACAGAGGCGTGGTTTCGGACGCTGGCAGGGCGCCGTAGACTGGAGTGGGACTTCTAGGATCCGGGACCGCGTGGCGTGTTGGGTCTTTAGGGTGTCCACTCAGTGGAGTCTCCCAACCGCCTTTTGTTACCCACCCTTAGTGTCCAAGAGGCTGGAGTGACGTAACTACCCAGGGTCCCGCAGCCAGGAGGAGCCGAGCAAGACGGAGCCAGACAGCCTGGCGGGGTGGGGACGCTCAGCCGGGAGTGCTGGGCCTGATCCGGGCAGCTGCATGGACGGGGCGGGGCGGGGCGAAACCCCACGTGGACCTGGAGCCTGGGGAGCGAACGGGAGCCAGCCTGTGGGACTAGCACGTGGGAAAGACGATGCAGGTGGAGGGCAAATACAAATTAAACACTGGCCCCCAGGCCTTCCCTACACGTGCAAGGGGCAGTTGAGCGCGTTGGGAACATTTTCCTCTAGCTTTCTTTCAGAGTTTCCTTTTTTGGGGCTCACGCCTGTAATCCTAGCACTCTGGGAGAGCGAGGCCGGAGGATCGCTTGAGGTTGCAGTGAGCTATGATGATACCACTGCACTCTAGCCTAGGCAACAGAACCAGACTGTGTCTCAGACTTTTTTTCTTGCTCCTCTGTTTTTCAAAGGTATGCAAGTCTTATTACTTTTTTTTTTTATGGCTAAGCAAGCCCATGGCCCATCTGTCTCAACTCAGGAATGTTGGTTCAGAGCCATCTTTTCAAAGTGTAATTGTCAAGGGATATAAAGCCCAATCTTCCAGTTTCTTGGGAGGACCAGGGCCTAACTTGTCAACTGACTGCGAGTTTAAAAAAACCTACTTAAGTGATGTTTTGTATCCACGTAGCTGTATAAAAGAGTGAGTTTCTTTTTGTGATCCCTTAGCGGGTTGTCTGTGATGTGTATCATTCTGATTTAATGCTTATTCAAGCATTACCTTTTCTTTCTCTTCTTTGTGGAGAGGTTTTCTGGGTTAGGAGAAAATTTTGTTTTTATATTCCCCACCACAGGCAGAGGAAAGCACATTGGAAAGTCCTGAGATTGGGAAGGATGTCGTTTGTTGGGGGCACTACTAAGCATTACAGGATTGTAGTGCTCTGAAGGGATCTTAATGAGGAGAGAGAGAGGAGGACTTGAAGAGTCTTTTCTTGGGGGGTGTTTTGAGACAGGGTCTTGCTGTGTTGTGAAAGGATAGAGTGCAGTGGTGTAATCATAGCTCACTGCAACCTCAGACTCCTGGGCTCAAGGGATCCTGCCGCCTCAGCCTCCTGGTTAGCTGGGACTACAGGCCCATGCCACCATGCCTGGCTAATTTTGCTATTTGTTCCTTCAGTCAGGGTCTTCCTGTGTTGCTCAGGCTGGTCTTGAGCTTCTGGCCTGAAGCAATCCTCCTGCCCCCACCTCCCAAAGTGCTGGGATTACAGGCTGGAGTCACCATGCCTAGCCCAAGGGTCTTGAATATCAGGCTAGAAAGGCAAGAGCTTAGTTTTGTAAGTAAAGAAAAGCAGAGCAGTATTTGAAACTCATATTTTACATATGGTACTTAGTAAATACATTCAATCACCTTGTGGTATATTGTCAGTGGAAAAGAACCCAAACTCTAAAATAATTTAATGGGCGACCCTGACCCAGAGAGCCAGATCCAAGAAACCTTGAGCCAATGGGCTCAGTGTGGTTGGGTTACAGTTTGGCTTTAGACATTTCACGGAGACAGGAATTACACATAAAGTCATAAATCAATACATGGAAGGCATACATTGGTTAGGCCCAAAAAGGCAGGGCATCTTGAAGCAGGGCATTACAGATTATAGGTGAGTTTAAAGAGTCTTTGATTTGTAATTGGTTAAAGAAACGAAGATTTGTCTAAAGGTTTGGAATGTTTTGAGTTAAGATAAGGAAGTCTGTTCATCAGAGACAAACCACTGAACACATACACCCAGGCTCAAGTGATCTGTTAAGTAAATTGATGTCTCTAAGAAAAAAGAAGAGACAGGGAGACAGCCTTTCTTTTAAAAATGTAAATTTCCCTTTCAAAGGGGAGCATATGATGTTTTTGTAGCTTCTGTTGTTCCTCAAAATTATCAGCTCAAAATAATCTTTGTGCCAACAAGATGTCAAAGTGGGGCTTATAAGGTTGCTTTTGGCCGGGCGTGGTGGCTCACGCCTGTAATCCTAGCACTTTGGGAGGCCGAGGCGGGCGGATTGCTCAAGGTCAGGAGTTTGAAACCAGCCTGAGCGAGACCCCGTCTCTACAAAAAAAAGAAATAAATTAACTGACCAACTAAAAATATATATACAAAAAATTAGCCGGGCATGGTGGCGCATGCCTGTAGTCCCAGCTACTCGGGAGGCTGAGGCAGTAGGATCGCTGAGCCCCGGAGATTGAGGTTGCTGTGAGCCAGGCTGACGCCACGGCACTCACTCTAGCCTGGGCAACAAAGTGAGACTCTGTCTCAAAAAAAAAAAAAAAAAAAAAAAAGGTTGCTTTAGCTGGGGCCTGCACAGGTGGCTGTACTTCTGAGGGATCATTATGATCCAAAGTTGGTTTGGTCCTTCATGATTTATAGGCCTGGAAACTGGATATTAAAATTCACTAAGCCCAGGAGTGGTGGCTTGCACCTGTAATCCCAGGACTTTCTGAGGCTGAGGTAGGAGGATCACTTGAGGCCATAAGTTCCAGACCAACCTGGGTAACATAATGTGACCCCATTACTACAAAAAATAAGAAAGATTAGCCAGGTGTGGTGGCCTGCACCTGTAGTCCCAGGTATTGTGGAAGCTGAGGTGGGAGGATTTTGAGGGTGCAGTGATCTATGATGAGGCCATTGCACTCTAGCCTAGACAGGGTCTCTAAAAAAATAAAAAAATTTAATAAATAAAACGAATAATAAAATTAACTGAGAATAATTCATTCTAAAGGGTCTTTCCTTCACTAATAAGTCAACATAGATGTATCACCTGCACAGCAGTGTGAAGTGTTGCATGGCATATGTCAAGGAATAACTCAGAGACATCTAGTTATTTACGAGCCAGTTATTTCCCATATTAGGGAGACAGTTGATATAGACGGTCAAGGACAAATGTCTGAGAGGGACAAAAAGGAAAACACTGCAGTTAGCTTCAGGAACAGTGAAAAGATTCAGTTTAAAAAAACCAATTAGGGGCTGGGCCCAGTGGCTCACGTCTGTAATCCTAGCACTCTGTGAGGCCAAGGCAGGCCGATCGCTCAAGGTCAGGAGTTCGAAACCAGCCTGAGCAAGAGTGAGACCCTGTCTCTACTAAAAATAGAAAGAAATTAATTGGTCATCTAAAAATATATAGAAAAAAAATTAGCTGGGCATGGTGGCTCATGCCTGTAGTTCCAGCTACTTGGGAGGCTGAGGCAGAAGCTTGAGCCCAGGAGTCTGAGGTTGCTGTGAGGTAGGCTGACACCGCAGCACTCTAGCCCGGGCAATGAAGTGAGACTCTGTCTCAAAAAAAACAAACCAAAAAACAATTAGGCCCTGCACAGTGGCCCATACCGGTAATCCCAGCAGTTTGGGAGGCCCACGTGGGAGGGAGGATCGCTTGAGGCCTGGAGTTTAAGACAAACCTGGTCGACATAGACTCTATTTCTACAAAATAAATTTTCAATTAGCTGGGTGTGGTGGTGTGCACCTGTAGTCCCAGCCACTCGGGAGACTGAAGCAGGAAGATTGCTTGAGCCCAGGAGTTCAAGGCTGCAGTGAGCTATGATCACACCACCACACTCTAGCATGGGTGACAGAGCAAGACTCTGTCTCAAAGAAAAAACCCCAAACAAACCAAACCAAACCAAAACAAAAAAACCCACCCCAATTAGCTGGAATCTAGCAGATACATGAATCTGGGAACATTGTCTTTGAGTAGGCCAACTAAGGGTAAACTTTCAGTGTAAAACCCAAGGGTCTAGCTGGGAAGCTGTGTCCAGGGACTATACCACCTCAGTCTGGCTAAATGTGCATCATTTTCTTCATTAGAGTTTCTCAGATTCAAGGAGGAATCCTATGTAGTCCCCACCTTCAAAAGAGCTTACTTACAGCTTAGTAAAGGATATGTCCTAAACTTGGGCAACTAGAGTTATACAAATAAATTGCTCTGGGAACTGGAGGGAAAAGTTGCATCGAAAGATTTAGTAGAAAGGTGATTCTTGAGCTGGGTGATAAAGCTCAATAGCTAAATTTCCCAGGAGTGCAAAAAAATTTGGTTTACTAACCTGCTGTGACCAGGGATAGCACCCCAGAGGAAGGTGGGCTGCCTCTCATTATGAGGGAGTAGGAAGGGGGTTTTATAAGGTTCAGGCTGGCCCTGAATAACTGAGGAGGGGAGAGGGGAAGTGAGAG